TAGTCCCACAAGCATATTTTTCTGCTCTCTATTGTCATGGGGAGCTGCCTAACAGCCTTGTCTTGCATACGTTTGCCCAGATAAGTAACTTTGCTTTTGAATATAGCCCTAGTGAATTCAGTAGTATTTATCAGAGGAGGAGAATTACTTATGTAGAAAAATATTTGCAGGAACAGGCCCTAAAAGTGCTATTGGATATGCAAAGAAAGGTGCATGAAAGACAGGAGAAAAACACTAGTTTAGTTCTTTTTGCCTGGGATTAACTCGGATGCTAACTGTAAAGCAGGGCACTTACTCTCCTCTGAGTGTATTTCACTGAATACTGAATTTCTCATTTCTAATGTGGAACTCCGATGAAGTTTCTCTTCGGCATCATCGGTAAGCATGTGGTTTCAGTAAAACTGATAGAATTAACATTAAACGCACATTTAAGTATTTTGCTGAAATGGAGATTGGCTGCTCAGCATCTTTCAGGACTGACTATTGAGTGGGAGCAAAATCAAGCCCCCAGAAAACAAAATATTTTCACTCAGATATGTTTTTTAAATTAATTCTGTTACTGGAAAACTGTTCACTGTTTTTCCTCTATAACAATCAATATTCTAAGAAATGCTGCCAGAAACAAAAATTACATATACAGCTCTATTTACAGCATCTGCAAGTTAGCTATCAGTGTTTGTGTTTGTGCAGAGTTTATATTTTCCATTAGAAAGAATAGCAGTAAATGGCTTCAGGCAAAAGATGGCCTAGTCTGAATTTTCTTCCTAATTAACATTTTACTGCTTCACCAGATCATCAAACAGTATTTTATACACAGCTATTTACTGTAAATAAGCTGCTGATGTGATTTATAGCCTTTCCAAAATCATAGGGAAATTTATTGGGTAAGAGCATTAAGATAAAAATTTCAAAACATCAGAACAGTTTATGTGACTTTGTCCCCCTGCAAAAGGTACTTTGGTACTGTAATCATCTTGGTAATCTCTCAAGTCATGCTGATACTTAGGACTATTTTATCTCCCAGATGTATTTAAAAAAGAATAATCAGACAAAAACAGTTTCCATAGTAAAATCCCATATGGGAAGGAAGGAAGCTGTGACATATAGTCTTTAGGTGAAATTGTCAGTATTTTGGGTCATTTTAAAACCACAAAACATGAATGCATGCAATTCTTGCCAAATTTCCACCGTATTTCCTTTGATTACATACATTTCCAGCAAACAATATAATAAGCTTACATTTTTAAGGCTTTGTTTACAAACAGTTGGAAAGATGCAAGGAATACTTGTGACACAGAACAAACAATGGAGAAAGCAGAAAATAAAGATTTAATACTGACTTACCCCACAGCCAGTCAGTATGCAAGATCTTACGGCCGAATACATTGTTTTTATTAGTGTCAAGTGCTTGATTTAAAGTAGGACCTCGTCACCTTACTGAGAGATATTTTTCCTGGGGTATATGCACGTACCTATTTATCTATTGAGTGTGAGTATATATATACACACACCTAGCAGTAGGCCTGGTTAGTGTCAGCTTGACTGGGAGAGGATGTTAGTAATTACTATTTCTCTAAACACTACTTTAGCATAGTTTAGTGTATCAGCTGGCTTCTGCTGCCAGAAGGACCTGTGCTGCCTACTGGAAGTGACTGCAAAGCCAAAAGCCACAGTGAAGACCATTCCCATTCTCTGTCCTCCTTCCTGTTGAACTCAGTGACACTGCTTTTGATTCAGTAGAAATGGATTTTGATTGACTCTTTTCGGGAGTATTTCTGGGCACCCTGGTTCTCAGGGCTATGCCCAGACCACTGGCACCCATCTGGCCAGCTCTGCTGAGGCTGAGAACAGCAGCACTAGAGATTCTGCTGGAGCTGGGACTGTCTACAGACCAGCAGAATGGTGCTTTCATATGGACTTTCTCTTCTTCCTCTTCATTCCTTCTGAACATGTTTCCAAGTTAAAAAGAGATAACTAATGCTAACTAACAGCTGATGTTTCAACATGTTTTACACATGTTTTTTCCTTCTGCAGGCTGCATTTCTGTTGTGTTACAAATGGATGGAATGAAGTTCTCATACAGTGACATGAAGACAAAAAGCAGCCTGCATGTGTTAGTGGTAGAATGAGTCCGTGTTAAGAATAGCTTCTGGTCTTACATTTTATGAGCCCAGTAAATCAAGAGCATGAAAGAAATATATGACATTGCTGTTTCATGCACTGTCTGCTACACAGAAATTTTCATGTGCACGGATAACTGAGAAACAAATAAATAAAATGTATCTTCCTCTCACCCCATTTATTGTGTTATGGATAGGTCACTTTTTCATCTCTTTTCGCTCTGAGGATTTCCTTGAAATAACAGTTTTGAGGGTTTTTTTTTCATGGTCTTTTAGTATCTTTCCCATAGAAAGAAATGGGGATATTCTTTACAACACACACCCTTCACCTCTTTATATGTGGTGCTCTTCTAATATAGTCCTCAATTTTTCTTACGTGTTTGAGAACTTTCTACAGTTTATCACCAACTGGAATGTTATACACATTTAATTTTTACCTTGAAGTGTTCTGACACCAAATAATTAATCTTTATTGTTCATTTTTGACTACAGTACTATTGAACAGATTATTAAGTAAAAAGAAATGTAGGGAATGTATAAAAAGCACAGTATTATTCTGATGACAGCTTCCTGGTGGTCCATCATACATAAAACTAGCTATTAGGAATATGTTTCAAACTGGCACCATAACACATTTTTCATAGTTGTTAAATTTAATTGTATAAATAGTTGCTGACTTCATTTGGACTGTTTTAAAAAAGTGAATGTGTAATAAATAAATCACCCTGTGAAAAAACTGCAGAACATCTTCAGCTACCATGCCAGGAGACAACTTCCAGTTTTCATCAATACTATCTGCAGTAATTAGCTCTGATATTGAGCAAAATTAGAACCTGATCCTTCAAGCATTTACACATGAGTAGTCCCACCAGGATCAATCAATATCTTCTGTAGCCATGGAAATATTTGCATGCATATGGTCAGTCATAAGCATGGTTTTTCCAAGTTTTTCAGGGGACTGTTTTTCTGACAAGCCATTTTTAGAGCTCAGTCCCACTTTCCATAAATGTTGGCAAAACAAGCCATACTGGTAACAGTAGGCTTTCGGACAAACTCAAAATAAATTCTGATGGCAGCAAACGTATTTTTCCTTTTAATGCAGTGACTGATTTTAATATTAAACCCTATACTTGACATGAATAACCACCCAGCAGGGTGACACAGAATATGGGATAACTCAGGCATTAAGTGATTTTTCTGCAGTCTGCATGGTGCTTTCAATATTGACATGCACTCTGCTTACAGTTGTTGTCTTATAAGCAAATGTAATGACTTGGTTCAGAACAGAGTATTCTTATATTGAATGAGAGCTGGAAAATGGAGTGCCTTTTACATGAGACCATCTCTAAGTTGCAGTGTAGTTGGTACTATTTATTGACTGACTGCCACTAAAGGTAGAGGAAAGATAAAGCTGCTGCTTTCAATTACGCAATCACAAGTGTAAGAAAGTGAAGCTGTAGAATCAGGATGGAAATCATTACATTTGATATGCCATGTCAAACAACAATAGCACTTGTGCTAATCACATTTTAGAACACTGCTATCATAGTTGATTTTGTCATAAAATAGAAAACTGTGAACAATAAAATCTCGTGTCCTGTGCCAAACTGCACTATTTAATCAACTTGGTTCAAAATCATTCTTGGTTTAGATAGTAACCCAATGTATTAGTTCCAACAGCTTCTCTACCATTACTAATTGGGAAATAAATATTCAAGCTAAATCAGACTCTTATTAAGGACTCTGCAGTAATTAATGGCAACCTGATATCTACCCAGCTATTTAACACTGTGGCTTGCTTTAAATTTGCCTGTTGCATTCACAGTTAAATAGATCATGACACAGCTTTAAGACCTCTAATAGCTTAGCAGTGAGGACTCCTATCCAGCAGATTCTTCAGCTCTCCATTGTCTGTGATGGGCTGAGACCTTTCAACTCTTTGTGCTGCTGGGGACTGCATGCTCTAAAAATCCATCTAAGATATAAGAGAATCTCTGAGATCATGTTGTTGGCATCCCATGACCAATACTGGGTCCTACTTCCAGAACACTCCAATGCTATTTCTCCAACACTTGCCATGTCCCATTCCCTACTTCCCTGGGGGATTTCCCTGCCTGGCCCTTCCCTTTCCCAGAGGGGATCCCTATCCTGCCTGCCTATCCCAAGACAGCACACCTGTCCTTGCCTGACCCACGTGGCTCAGCCTGTGCTGTTCCCAGCTCAGGCAGTAAATATACATGTACCATTAATAGTCAGTGTGATGAAGGCTCCAAATCCTTTGCAAATGTCATCTGTGATCTCCAAAGCAGGACAGCATACACAAGTCTGACTACCAAGCAAGGAACAAACTACTGTTTAAATATCATCAAAAAGACACGCTGTGTGGTTGCTCATGAAAATTGGAAGCTAGTGAAGTAATCAAGGTAAATCCTAAATAAGAGTTAGAAATCAGATTTTCTTTAGAAACAAGAAGCAGAAAAAGCTCTGAAGATCATTGCTTCTGCTTTGTGACTGAAAAATGGCTTGTGAGACAACCTAAGCCTATTTGTCTCTTTTCCTAATTAGATCTTCCAATCTTATAAAAGATTCTACCACTGACAGAAAACCTTGCGTACAAAATAAAAAATGCTTTTTTCTTTTTCCAAAGTGATTAGACCTTTACGAAATCAATAACAATATTCATACAAAATTAAGTTTCTAGGATCTTAACTGTCCAAAATACAAGAATAACAAACACTTTATGTTAGCTTCTTTAGCAAACATACAACTGCAGTATCTCAGCATAATGACTTTATTTGGCATTCTTATTTTCCAGAAGGTTTTTTTTCCCTTTTCATGACCATTTCCTATAAACAGATATATTGTAAGTAACATACTTACACTTCAGGAATGTCTTCATTTTTATCCTGGCATTCACATCTGTCCTTGTTTAATGCTCTGCTGGTGGTCTGGCTCCATGGTATGCCCACTGCAATGTTCATCTTAAACAATATTTACATTGATTAGGGCTCTGAATGCACTAGAGACATTTATTAGAAAATGAACACAATATCCTGGGATAACAGTGAACGTCTCTAAATGTTTTCATTAATGCATTTTTTAGGAATATAAACAATTGACTGTCAAAATGATAATCTGACAGAGAAAAACATTATGAAAATTTATAACATAAAATGTCTATGTCCAAAATATACAGATAATAAACATGCATGGAAAGGGCACACTGACATTTTTATTCAGATTATAATAGTATCTGTTGCAATTCTCAATACTTGCTTTTATGAATATGCACAGTAAGACACTGTTTTTCCACTGAAATTTTGTTGGCTTAATAAATATAACATAAAATTGGAATGGGAAAGCATATTTGTGCGAACAAAACTACAGCAATATTAAATAGTTTGGCTTCATCACCTAATATGCTTATGGGAGAAGAAAACTGGGACCCTTACCCTGAAGTGGTGAGGAGGAGCAATGAAGATCATCCATCTAAAAAAAATAAATAGTACTGATTACCAATTAGTCATATGAACAAAAGTGCATCTGTACTACTGCTTTTCTCAACGTGGTCACTGTACATTAGTGCCGAGCAATTAATATCTGACATATAAATAGCCACAGAGTAGAGCATACAGCGTGACAGCCATCTTCTCTACATGTCTATCCAATAAAAGCAATCAGCCAGCAGCTAATCGTTTCTTAACCTGTTATATCCTGCCTTCTGTGCATTAACAACATATGCTTCTTGATTTATTCACCCACCTTAAGCCTATTATCATGAAGCCAATTCCTAGTTATGATGGCTGACTAACATGTTTGCTTAAATTACAGACAAAAACCTGCTTGATTACACCATCATTTTTAACTTGTAGTGGGGAAACAAGGAGGTTACAGATTGTCCTGACTTCAGAAGTTTATTAATATCACTAAAGAAAATATCATTTACTAGTGAAGATGCACCAGTTGTGATCAGCTGCTTTGGGCAGTGAGTGCATTAACAGAATAAAGAGAACATGTATGAAGATACATGTCCACACTCTGACAGCTCCTTCACACTCAAGATACATTACATTTCGTCTTTCTTTTACAGACATCAGGAGCTAGATTTAATTCTATGAAATTATTTTAAGGACAAGAAGAGACTGAAGCATGTTTTCTCTGCAGGATGGCTGAGTTCAAACTAGGTACTGCATTTTGCTCTGGATAGCAAGAGGTCTCTACAGGTCTAACAGACTTTTCTAATTGCAGGGGCCTCTACTACCAAATTTCAAAATATTGCAGCTAAGTGGTGCTATGTAAAGTCATGAAGGAGGGCTAAGAAAAGCCAGTTTATGGCTTCAGTGAATTGCTTGAAGAGTTTCACTAAGGGACATAGCACTGAGGTAGTAAGGGGAAATAGCCTCACTAAGGAGGATGCTTAAGCCAAAACAACTGCTTTTTATTTTCTGTCCTGAAATCAAACATTTTCATACCAACAAAAATTTTCACAAATCCACCATTTTAATTCTTGTTAATATGTCCGTATCTGTGAGGAAAGAAAACGCTCTCTGTAAATTTCAAAATACATTTGTGAACCATATTTGGACGTTCAGGAATACCCAGAGCACAAGGAGAGGAGCAAGCTGTGGGAAGTTAAGAAGGGAAAGCAAATAGGAAGGTAGCTTAAAGCTTGGCATTCACTGCTGACTTTCCTTTTTTTTTTTTTTTTTTTTTTTTCCACAGAATCAGCTTTGTCTGTCTCCAGCTGCAGTTTCCAATTAAGAGTGCATGACAAGAACTGTCTATGCCTTGCTGATGTTCTACATTGTAGACGGATCTCATGTCCATGCTGAACTGGGCAGTTTTGATAGCAGACAACTCACAGGATCTTTGTAGGCCTGAACTGCATGGGATTTAATAGGAAAGGCAGAAACCACAGGGTCTGACTCATCACTCCAACCCAATATCAAGGACCAGATATGTCCCCAGTGCTCCTTGTAGATGAGAGAGATCCAATAGTTTAAAGTGGACATAAAAGAAGGAGCTAGGTCATCAGTACAATTTGGGAATAATATGGGAGAAATGCTGGCATCATTTGAGAGTGGTGAAAAAGAAAGTCTTTGATCACTGTTCCCCATCTTGGATTAGTAGCTTATGTCTGTTTACGAAAATTTTGTTCCATGGGACCATTTTATTCCCTTTAAGAGGGAGGTTCTCTCTACAGCTTTCTTCTTGGTTTAATAAGGGCTTGAGGTGCCCAGAAATGGTGTGATTTTTCCTGGGTGAGAATCATGACAGTAGAAAACAAAGAGTCTTTCCTTTCCTTATGCAAGCTTTCAGATTTGGGCCTTTCATACGTGCAATCCATGTATACATGTACATATACCTGCTAAAGACTTCACAAAAACATTTCAATATATAATTATCTTAGCAAAAGCCTCATGTTTTATTAGCTGAGGAGTAATAGGCAGTACTCTGCTCTTTCTTAAAACATTATCAAAATCTAAAGATGTGAATATAAGACGCTTGATGTAAAATAATGTATTTCAATTTCAGAAAAGAAAGGAAAAAAAACCAGCCTGAAAAAATACGTGAAGAAAACAAAAGCTCCTTTTGAGCTAAGCGAATCCCCAGTATTTTGTAAGACAGATCAGACTAAATCTCTGAATCTTGTAATTGTCATCTGAATATTCTCAAAAACTTGGGGATGGGAGAGCAGTCATTAAATGCTGTGAACCAAAAGAAAGTTTACGTGTACAAAATGTCACTTTACTGCAGTGTATGAATAAGAAAACATCTGTCTGAATAAGTGATTGATTCTGACAAATATTAAGTAGGTATAAGGAAATAAGAAGTGATCCCTCTAAATCTTGTTTTGCAGCATTGGCTAAATGTGCAAAAAACACAGGCTATATATGTAAGATGTAATAGAAAATAAAATACAGTTTTGTTGAATTTGTCTGCTAAATCTACTGCTGCTTTCTGTACCCTAGAAATTCCCCAGAACTATTTTATGAATACTTACCAGTTTATTTTTTAATATTAGAAGATTGAAAAAGGCCTCCTTCTATTTCACGGTTCTCTACCAGTGAATCATAGGTCCCCTGTTACTCTGTGGAAAGTTATTTTAGTAATTCTGGAAGTAAACCTACTGCTGAGTCAGCATCATGGCTGAAAATGACAGATTTCATATTAAGAAACACGTTAGAAATAATAAGTAATGCTGTATCTCTTAACTTCCCCAGTTAAAATTAGCTGGTGTGTCAGGAATTGATTTAGCAAATGTCATGCATGCTGGACATGAGAAATTCATCTTGCATATTGTCAGCATGAAAAATCAGGTACGTTTAATAGAAGAGGGTAAGAGAAATAAAACTAAAACACAGAGCAGTGGTGGAAGCAGCACTAAATATTTTACTCACAGAGGCACTCACTAGAAAATATTGAAATGCAACCCTAAAGCAGACCAATATGAAAAGGTTTTTTTTTTTGGTCTTCTCTGTTAGATGATTTTCAAATAAGCAGTTTAGTAGCATTTTAAAGTACTGTATTCTTACAGATAAAATGGAGGGATTTTGTGACCAAGTTTGTCTGGAATTTTAGCATTTCTGGAAAAAATAACTGGAGACAAAACATTTGCCAGCAAACAATCTTTACTTTCTGATTTGCTAAACATGTCCATATGTAGTTATTACTTGTGTTCAGAAGACTAGTAGCAGTTTTAGACTAGAAATAGGCTACTACTGCAAATTCAGGTAGTCATCTGACACTTGTAGTGGGAAGATTTTGTATTTTTTTGGTAAAAGGAGATGGGTAATTTACTGCTACTTATACCTTTATGCTGAATGATATTTTATGGGCTATATTTTAGTCTTTTAGAGAAATGCAGTTGATTTTTCAAACAGTACGCTATTCCTTCTGGCAGACGACAGAGCTGCTTCATCTTTTCCCTTTCTACCACGGGGCCTGATTCTGTTCCACCAGCTGTCCATTTCTCACCTCTGCAGCCACAACAGCATCTCCCTTTTATTTGCTCTGAAACCTGAAACCCAATTTTTGCCTGTGATTTGTCCTCAGAAGATCCAATATTGGCTGAAATAAATAGCAGTCCTAAGATTGATTTCAATTGAATTTGATAGGCAGAATTTCTTAAAATATTGCAGCTCTCCCTCTATGACTTGGGGAAGTGGTCCATAGCAGTCCTTCACTGTCTTTTTCTCTATTCTGTATTTAAAAACTTCCTCCAAAACTGCATCTCAGACACATTCAGACTCACTGAAATCTCCAAATACATCAATATTTCCCATTGGTAATAACACACTACTGAATAGTGTGATGACTCTGCAGTGTCATTTTGACCATGCACATTACAAGCCACAAAAGTTTTGCAGAGAAGGAGAAACAATTAGTATTAAAATAATATGCTTATTAAGTATTTTTACACAGGAATATCAAGAACCACAGTTTTTTAGAACTTGCTATTAATATTTCCTGAGATTTGTTACTAGTAAGTTTTGCTAGAAAAAATAATAAAAAAAACTTACTGTAAAACCTTTGAGTTCTTTTTCTTTTCTTCTGCTCTTTCAATGTAGCATAAATACGTGGTGAAAAGTCAGAATCGTGAAGAAGAAAAATGTTCCAAAACACTGTAAAAGTGCCTTTCCCTTCCCCACAGCCCAAGGGAGCACTGACTACTTCAATAATCAGTGCGAACTTTTTGGTTATGATTTCTGTTTCCTTTCCCTGTCTCTCCCTCCCTCTCAACTTTTTTTCCACAATTGTATGAGTATTACTGTTTTCTCAATAAAGGAAGTAGAAGAGCTGCATGACAGTGTTTGTTTTAAGAAAACACAAAGAGTGTATTAAAATGAGAGGTAGTTTAAAAAGAAAATATCAAGCAGGAATTATAATCTTAAGAGAGCGGTAAAAAAATGACAAATACTACAGGAGAACAAATTACAAGTGCTGCATTTTTGCTCAACATGAAAAGCAGCACTAAAGAGAACAAATTCCACGCATTTCACCTCCATCCCAGCTTCACTGGGGATTAGTGTTCAGATACGAGTAACTATAGATTATCGTCAGTATAATGGAATCCTGTGATTAGCAAAAAGAAGCAGGAAAAATGGACTTTCACTAGAGCTTCCATACTTTTCAGTCAGCCTTCACTAGTCAGACATATGGACTATGTTAACACTTCAGGTTACTGGCCAAAAGTCAACCTTGAAAATTAATTTCCCAGAAATATAGAAATTGCCATTTTTCACACCTTGGATAGAGAAGGCCAAAACAACTAAAACTAAAAGTATCCAAATACTAGTGTGGAATTCATTGATTTCCTCTAAAATAGCAGCTGAATAAGGATGACAGGAATTTTTGTACAGCGAGGTATGTGACCCATCACAAACCTGGTTATAATTATGGATTTCAAAACAGCGTCTAATAAGCTGAGACCCAGACAGCAGCACACAGTAGTGGAACACATCCAGTATTCATTAAAGATGCACAATC